GAGCAACACGGGTGGGTTGGGGCTGTTGCCCGGTCTGTGACGGCAGTGCTCTGCATCGTGTGGAGCAGCAGTTGAGATGCAGGCAGGTTTGCAAGGTGCACACCCTGGCTCAAGGCTGCCTTTATCCGGGGTGGGGGGTGGGGTGCCTGCCTGGGAAGGCAGGAAGGCTGGCTGACAGGTGCAGAGGCAGGGAGGGAAGGAGCGAGGCCAGGTCCAGCCATCTTAAAGGTGCTCTATGGGATGGCATAAACGACAGCCACGGACACAGCCAGAGAATCTCCGATGGGAGGCGCAAGCCAGGAGCGCTGTGGGTGACTGCAGGTGCGTTTAGAGTACACGCCTGGAGGAGCTGTGGGGAGGACCGGCTATAGCAGGGCTGCACAGAGAGATAGCCCTGATTCGGCCCCAGGCGCTGTCTGTTTGAGGATCAGACCGTCATCTGAAGTCTGCTTTCCCTGCACAAGGAGCAGGATATGACATCCGTCCTTTTACCTAAGTTCCTGCCACCCGGAGACCCGCCACTAACTTTTTGGTGAAACCTTGTTTGCACATCCATCTCCCATTATGAATATGTTTAGTTTCCCATAAATGAAATGTCATGCATGCTGTTTGCTCATGGACACTTTCGTGGGGGCGAGATAATTAGATTTATTTATTTGTTAATGGAAGTGCTGGGGATTGAACTCAGGACCTCATGCATGCTAAGCACATGCTCTACCACTGAGCTCTACCCTCCCCTCTGCTCATGGAAACTTTTTTTAAAAACATCTTTTTACTATTTCTTTCCTCCTCTCTCTCCGCTGAGAACCAGCGTGGACATCCCGCAACCTGTTCTCCGGGGACCACACGGGAACAGCATCCTCTATGTACATCACCGTCTGCTCTGCAGAAACAGAACCTGGTCTCCGCACAGGGTCTCAAGACCAAGGATTTGTATCAGTTTTCCTAGGCAGGGGTTATCAATAGGGAGGTTGTGCTGCCCAGGGCACATTAGGCAATGTCTGAGGACAGTGTGGTTGTCACAACAAGGTGGGGGGTGCTATCGGCATCTCGAGGGTGGAGGCCAGGAATGTTGCTCAGCCTCCCCACCATGCACAGGATGGCCCTACCAGAGAAAGATCTGGCCCCGAGGTCAGCAGTGTTGAGGCTAAGAAGCCAGCCCCGGCTGAAGAGGATTAATAATGAAATAAGTGAAATGAAACGAAAAGCTAAACATCCTTTAGTGTGTCCATGGCTGAGCAAGAAGATGCTCACACTGACTGCAGTGACCTGCGGCCCATCTTCATGCCAAACATGGCCCACTCGTTCTTACTCCGCCTCTTGTCGTCTTCGGGATGTCCTGCAGTGAACCCCCGCCACGGAACCTTGGGGACGGATGTCTGGGCTGGGCGGCACCGCCCGCCGCTGTAGCCATGAATCTGATGCCCATTTCTCTCTGAGGGCTGAGCATCAAAACCCCAGGCACATGGGCACATCCCCCACTTCCTCAAAGGGCCCCAGAACTGCCCAAGACACTCCCCCTCCTTCAGGGCCAGATTCCTGAGCCTGTGGGGCCAATTTTAATGCCTGGACATATCGTGGAGCATCTGGTTCTTTGGAAGCTGGGGAAAGCAGGGTAGCGGCTTCCGCCCCACTCCGGCTGCCTCCAAGGAAAGAATACTCCGTGATCAGGAGGAGAGGGCTCTTCTCCAAAATGGGAGAGTGCATCTAGTGAGAAGGGGCACTTCCAACGTGTGCCCCGGTGCTGGGTGGACACACGTGGGTTCAGCGGGGCCTCCTGCCCGAGGCCAGCAAGGTCACTCTGATTCTGTTGACCTGAGAGGAGGGAGAAGGAGGCGGCAGGGCATGTCCTCCTGGCCTTGGACCGTGTTTACTCGGCCAAGCCCAGCCCGGGACGTATTTACTGCGTGTGCTCCCGCATGGGTGGGACCGCCTGACAGCTCTGCTGGGCTTGGCCTTGAAAAAGTCTCTCTGGGAAGGAGGCAGGGGCAAGGTGACTGGTCCTGGTGGGAAGTAGTGGCCCCGGAAGTGTGCTCTGAGGGTCCTGGAGGCCCCCTCCCCAGCTAGCCTGGCAGATGCTACCCCCTCCTGCCGACCCTGAGTCCTGCCGGGAGCCACAGATACAAACCGCGGTCCGGCAGGCTGTGGTCAGAATGCACGTGGGGGCCGGGCCAGGGTCTCCTGTAGGGGCCTCTGTTGGCCCACCCCTAATTTCAAGGTAGGGGAGGCCAGTGAGGAGAGAAGCCTGCGGGGGCGGGGTCCTCCTTCTTCCTTTCCTCTCTTGCCTGGCTGTGGGGCATCCTGACCCCGACCTCCTCCTCGGGGCGGAGGTCAGAGCTGCAACCTGAACTGTCCTGCGTTATTGATGCTCTTGGTGGTGGAGCAGGGGCGTGTGAAAGCGCATCTGTTGACACTGGAGCCAGAGCCTAATCTGTTTCCTCTCTTGAGAAGATTCCTTACCTGAGGCCCCAGTGCCTTTGCTTTTGAGGTGGGAAACTGCTAAGTAGGAGCACAGGCAGAGGGTGACTGGGAGGAAAGGAGACGCCGGGGGAATGAGGCTGGGCGCCCAGGAGCCAAGGCCATCACGGGCACCAGATGGCTGGCCGGCCAGGTGGGATGAGCTTTCAGGGGGCCGCTCTGTCCCTTTACCTGCTGTGCCATCATGAGAGTCATTTAACATTCAGCGTCTGAGAGCACCCACCACATGCACCAGATTTTAGAGCCTTTGGGCAGCCAGGCCCAGCAACCCACTAGGAAGGGAATTTTATTACCAACGTGTGGATGGAGAGGCAAAACGTTTGGCGAGGCCAGCGAGGTAGCTGGGCGGCGGCGTCTCTTAGTCACACGCGAGCCCCCTGCCCCTCCGCCCCCATCCTGCCCGGCCTGGCACAGAGCCCCATCCTTCCAGAGGGGCCTGCTTTGCCCCTCTGCTTCAAACCCTCCGAAAGCTCTGACCTCAGAGTAAGTTATGGTCCCCTCCAAGCCCCTCTGAATTTCCCCCTGAGTCGTCTCCCCTCGTCTCTCCTCATTCACCACCTCAGGGGGCTTTGCACCCACCATTCCCAGGGCCCGTTGCCCACTCTGCAGAGGCCTGAATGCCCTGCTCTTAGGACAGCGTCCACTGTCGATGCTCCAGTAAGCACAGTTGATGGGAGGAAGGAAGGAAGGCCAGCCCAGGCCCCGTATTTCCTGCCCTGGGTAGCGGGTGTGGACTCCACTTCCCTTGTGCACCACCGTCAACCTGCCTCTGCTATATTTCCTATCCTCTCTCATAATTGCTCATTTATGTATCGATCTTGCCTAAAAGGCCAAGAGCCCCTAGGTGATCTATTTCTTTCATACACTGACACATTAATTTTAGCTTCTGTCAGATTCAGCGGCATCTTGTTCCACATGGAACAACAAAGAACGAAAGGAAGGAAAAGGCTGTAGGTTTCCAACGTGCAACAACCTTCCGAATGGACTGTACTTAGCATCAAACGTCATTTCACGGAGGACATGACTCTATTTTACAGCAACAAAGGCTGAAAAAGTGACTCTGGGTTTGTCAAGGTGCTAAAAATAACTGCTGTCTATTTAACTTTTCTCCAAGTTGTCTGTTTCAAAGTGCAGATAAACAGAAAGAAGCCGTTTTTCCATTCCTTCAGTATTTTCCAGTTTCATATCTCAAGTCAGCACCACACAGTTTAGCAGGCAATTATTCTTTAATTATGTCATTTTGTTTCTCGGTTTACAACTCCCCAGCTAGATTACAAACATCCTGTGGGCAAGAATGAGGCCCCATGTGATACAGTGCCCACCACAGAAGGGGCTCCGAGACAGGCAGACAGGGACCCAGCAGTCACACTGCCCCGGCAATCCACACCTCTAAGACTCTCCGCCTTCCTTGGAACACATAAGTGTTTTGGGAAAAGTCCTTCAGCTCCCACATTTGTGGCCTAAGGGAGGGACCTGTGAGCAGAGCCCAGAAACTGCCTTCATCCAATCCTAGCGCCTCCTGGGCTCCTGGGCCCACCCCCGGGCTCTTGCTGGCTGGTCAAAAATATGGCCAGTTTATATAAAATCCTGTTTTGTTCATAGTAACCACTGTCCCCTCCCCCCTCCAACTCAACTGGTCAAGCACACTTAAAATTCTAAGGCCTCCCTTTGAAAAAGGAATCCTCGGTACGTTTCCCGAGGCCACCCAGCCAGAGAGTGCAGGGAGAGAAGCGGCAGGGAACGACCCCGTCTCCAAAGCGCACATCCTTTGGCTCAAGCGCCGGATAGAATCTAAGGGACCCCAGGAGTGGAAGGCAATCTGGCAGTGTACACCTCCCGGGCCAGGCTGGAGGGGAAGGGGTGGTGGGTGGGCCGCCTGGTGCCCTGGAGGGGTGGGCAAGCGCTGAGTCAGGGTCCACTGGGCGCTGTCTGCGCCGTAGCGCCTACCCCTCGACCCACCGCCCAACATCTGGGGACCTGTGAGGCTGCGGGATGAGGCCCCCCCGGGCGGTGGTAAGCCAGGTGCGCAGC